AAGGCAAGAGTCAGAAAGGTGACCAAAAGGGATCAAAGGGAGGAGGAGCTGGAAAACAATCCAAGGGCAAAGGAAAAGGAGAGAAACAATGTTATGTTTGTGGCCATACAGGACACTATGCACGGGATTGCTGGCAACAGGTTCGAAATGTTTCCACAGATGGTGGACAAGGATCTACGGTGCAGGGATCTCCTGCGTCATCAGCAGGTGGCATGTCGAGCGTGTCACACTCTCAGCCTGTGTCTCAGCCAAGCAATTCTGCCCAGGCCACCCAACATCGTGTTGCAAGAATTTTGGAAACTGGTGATGATGTTAAGCATGATGAACTGGTTTTCGACCTACGTAGTTCAGGGTCTTCACATTTCAGTGGCAATGTCAACGCTTTGCATTACTTCATTGGTGATGGTGATGATGATTTTCAAAGCATGGGACATGTCAGAGCAGTCATTGATGAGATGAGTGACAGCGGTGAAGAGATGTTCAACATTTTGTTGGATTCAGGAGCTGATGCATCCATTTTCCCTGTGACCTTGCTTGGAAAAGGTAGACCGACAGAAGGTGTTGTTGGGAGGTTGCATGATGCGCAGGGAGCTGAGATACCAATAGATGCTGTCCAAGACATGGAAATCAGGTTGAAAGATGTGAGTGGAAGCACAGTGATTTTGCGTGAAAGGGTTGCGGTTTCAAAGCATGTTAGCCAACCAATTCTGAGCTTTGGTCGTCTTCTCGAAGGAGGCTGGTCAATTGATGGATGTCAGCAAGCGCTCACCCACCATGCAGGGGCCAACATTCCAGTGGAGTTGCAAAACAAATCTCTGATGGTGCAAGGGACAATACGTGTTTTGCGTGAGTCATGTGATGTTGTTGACATGCATGTCAGGGCAATTCAAGCTGATGTCATGGAACATGTTGTTGAAGGACGTGTTGGATGGGACTTAGATGCCTATGGTCAAGGACTTGGAAGGCACTTCGACAACAAGTACCAGGACCCCAGTCTGGTAAAGCCTGATTTGCCTGGACGTTTCTGCAGAACCACGCTGATTGAGGGCGATGACAAGAAATGGTATGTTGTTGAATTGTGCGAGAGACTGGATGGTTTGATTCAGTATGATGCAGAATTCTATGAGATGAGTGGCAAGCGCAACATTATTACCATTTTGACTGATGGTGAGAAAGATCCTCTTGTGATGGGATTCAAATTGATGGATGCAGAGCCCCAAGCGTTTCCAGTGCAAGCTGATGAAGGTGATGTGGAGATCTCAGAGGAGATTGAACCGGCTGATGAAGTTGTAGGTGTTGAGATTCCAGAGGGACAGATTACAGTTCAGCAGTCTTCAGAAGAAGAAATCAATGTCAATGGAACTGTGTTGAAACCTGACAGTGGGCTTGCAGCACTGAGGGCAGGTTGTGCGTTCTATGGTCTTTCGAGCTCAGGTTCCAAACAACGTTGCTTTCAGAGGATGCTGGATCATCAAAAGAAATTGGAACTTGACATGGTGCTTGCTGCTTCACAGGATGCCTTGCAACAACTTGGTAGGCAGCCACGTGGACCGCCATCTGCAGAGGTCCCTTCAGAAGCAGAGCAAGCAGCTCATCGACTGACCCATATGCCTTTTGCAAGTGGGTGCCCCAGTTGCATAGCTCACAGAAGCAGGCCAGATAGGCATGAAAGAACAGGTGAATCACATGCCAACGCAGTACCCACGATCAGTTTTGATTTCTTTTACACAAAAGCAGATGGAGAAGCGCCTGGTGAAGATGCTCCAGATACAATTTTGGCGCTCATCATGGTGTGCAGTCAAACCTCATATGTTGCATGCGTGCCTTTGCAAGGGAAGTCCCAGTTGGATTTGATGAACAGGGAACTGGTGCAGTTTGCACAGAGGCTGGGACATGGAGAAGTGATTTTCAGATGTGACAATGAGCCTGCAATTCTTCAACTGCAAAGGTTAGCAACCAAAACAAGACAAGCAATGGGATTGAAAACCAGAATGACGAGCTCAGTGGCCTATGACCATGGGAATGCCCTAGCTGAGAACGCAATTTCACGTGTGAGGTCTCTTGCGTGCTCACTGATGCATCATCTTCATGGACGATTGGGCATTCAGCTTTCAACAACAAGCGCGTTGTGGTCTTGGGCACTCAGACATGCTGCATTTCTGGTGAGTAGATTTTCAGTGATCAATGGAGCCACCCCATATGAGCTTGCGTATGGAAGACAATTTACTGGCACTTTGTGTGAATATGGTGAACCGGTTTTTGCTTTCATCCACCCTGGGACAAAAGCTACACCCAAATGGAGACGTGCACTCTTTCTGGGCAAGTCAGAGGACCAAAACAGTTTTGTGTTGTTTGATGGGCAAGCAGTGGTGTTGTCAAAGAACGTCAGAAGGATTCAAACGACATGGAGAAGCCACATGGCTTACTATCTTCACTGCAAGTGCTACTCATGGCAATACAAATCTGGCTTCGGAGCAAGGGTGTTACCAACCATGAAAAAGGCGGTACCAAAAGCCGTCAGCTTTGAGGTTCCCATTGGACCTGTGGAAGGAAGCAAACTTCATGATGAAGAAGCTGAAGCAGTGATCAAGTATGCTGAGCAGGAAAAACGTGCTGAAGAAGAACAGTTTGCGATGGGCAAGAATGACCCCTTGGCTTTGCAGTTTCAACAACAGCAAGAGCAACAGCAAGTGGCGAATCCTACGGTTTTTGATGACCACATTCCCATTGACACATCAACTGCTCAGGTGATTGGTGAGGCAGGAGGAGCTAGTGCTGCTCCCAGTTCAGTTGCAGATCCTGGTTTGATGATTCCGGTCACACCTCCTCGTGACTATGTTGAGTTGGAAAGTCCCCGTCTTCCTGCATCTACAAGACCCAATGAAGGTGATGAGAATGAGTCTACAAAAAGGGCTCGAGTTGAAGATGCAAAGAAACAACGTATTAACCGTTTGAGACAGGAGTATGAAGACAGACTTTCTGCAGTGAAAATCGAGTACAAAGAGTACTTCACCATGGATGACTACTCAACCGACCTTGATGTTGAGCATGGTTTAGAGGAGGAGCAAGATGATTGGATTGGAGAGGATGAGATTCAACTGACTGGTATTCCAGAACAACTGTGGGCAGACTTTCCTGTTGAGTCTACACCGGCAGAACCGCCAGCTGCTTGGATTGACGAGCTGGCTGACCAGACAGAAGTGAAAAGGCTGGTGGAGATGGGAGTGCTGGTGGTAGAAAATCAATTTGATGGTGCAGTAACTGGCAGTTTGAGTACCAAGTTCGTGAGAGACTGGCGACTCAAGGACTATGTTGACAGCAATGGAGGTGTTGTTAAACGTTGGATGCGCAGATCCCGTTATGTTGCCCGAGAGTTTGCAAATGTGCGCAGATGGGATACATTCAGTCCAGCAACAGGAGCTCACACTTCGAACTTACTTCCTTTGAAGTATCTGTGGCAGAAACAATTGGCTGCAGAAATGAGTGAGGGAAAAGCATATGAGGTGGTGCTTGGTTGTTTGGATGTGAAAGATGCGTTTTTGCAAGTGGCACAACAAGAGCCAATTCTTGTGACCATACATGGGGAGGAATATGTGATACAATGCAATCTTCCTGGTCAAAGATTAGGTGCTCGAGCCTGGTATGAATGTCTGCGTGATTTCCTCAGCAAGGAACTTGAGTTTGAGTTTTGCAAAGAACAACCGTGTCTTGCCAGGAACAAAAGCTGCACGATCATCATTCACGTGGATGACATCATGTTTGTTGGAAGCAAAACTTACTGGCAAGATGTTTTCCTGAAACGCATGAGTGAGAAATTTTCAATTTCACATTCTCAGTTGGATGGAGTTGGAACAAGCGTGAGTTTCTTGAGACGAAAAGTGACAGATATGGGTGATTGGCTGATGCTAACTCCAGGCATCAGTATCTCCAAAGTGGTGAAGGTTTTCGAAGAATCATTTGGTGTTGCACGAGCTCAGAAGATTCCATGCAGTGCTGAAATTCAAATGGAAGATGTTTCTCAAAAGTTGAACCCAAGAGATACTACAGCATATCGATCAATTGTTGGATTGTGCCTGTACATTGGTCGAGAACGTCCTGACCTGATGTTTACAATTAAGGAGTTGGCTAGTGGAATGTCAAGCCCAACATTGACAGGACTTCAACGGCTGCGTAAGCTGGTAGGGTACATGAAGCATATTGGTGACGTTGGTGTAAAACTTGTGACGCCTCTCCCAGGTCAAGGAAAGTTTTCCAATGATGGTGAACACTTTTGGGTTCTGGAAACATACAGTGACGCTGATTGGAGTGCAAATCGATCCCACAGGCGCAGCACATCGTGTGGGATGCATTTCCTTAACAATTCCTTCCTCTACGGCAGCAGCAGAACTCAGAAAACAATTTCATTGTCTTCTTGTGAAAGTGAACTTCATAGCCTGGTAAGCTCAATGTGCGATGGCCTTTTCATCATAGCATGTGCACAGTTTGTTCTGGGAGAATCAATTCACCATGTTCAGTTCACAGACAGCAGCAGTGCCCGACAGCTGGCCAGTCGTCAAGGTGTTGGAAAAGTTCGACACTTGTCTGGAAAGGTTTTGTGGGTACAACAGATGGTGAACGATAAGCTGGTGATACTCAGGCAACTGCCTACAGCGGTGAATTTGGCTGACATTGGGACGAAGAGCTTGGCAAAACAAAGGCTTTCTTATTTGATGAATGAAAGTGGTTTAATCTATGTTGCAACTGGTGAAGAGGTTGGATGGGAGGAAGCACAACAGCAAAAGGAGAAAAGCGCCAATAGCCAACAAATCAAAAGGATTGCCAAAACGATTTTCAACATGAGCGTTGCTATGGGCCTTGGGCCGGTGGTCGCTGATGCACAGCAGTGTTCAGAGCCAGGCAATGGCACAAATGCTTGGTGGATGCTGGGAATTTTTCTGGTGATTTTTCTTGCGGCAATTTGCCGGTTTGGATGGCGCAAATGGATGCAGATGAGAAAAGACATGGAGAACGTGGAAACTCAATTGGCAGACCACTATGAGTATGCCGCATGGCTTTGTGAGAGGTTGGATAATATGACATGGATGAGAGATGCAATCCATGCCCTGGGTGAACGATTGGATCAGTTGGCAAATCGCATTGCAACCAATGCAGATGATACAAGAGATGCATTGACTGTTTTGGACGATGCAACTGACGTTGTGCGCTATGGGTTGATGGAGTTTGGAGGATTTGTGAGGAACCAAAGCCTCACAGGACAACAAAGGACCCATATGTTTACTCAGGAAAGGGCAAATTTTGTCCTATGGAACATGCAGAGGAATCGACCAGATGACACCGACCCTTTAGAAGATGCAGAGGAGGAAAAATTGACAGATGATGAGGTCGAACCTTCATCCACAGAAGGTATGGGCAACCTGATGGAAGCAATGAGGAGAGAACAAAACATTGCATTGACAAGAGAAGCATGGGAGGACGCCTCAATGATCCAACAGGCGTTGATTACAATTCTGGATGCAAGTTCTGGAACAAATCCTGTTGGGATGACTATGGGCGTGATTGAGAGAATCAGAAGTGTTTTTCAGAGACTGCATCGGTCAGCACGAAACCGTGGACACAATGACCGTGCAGGATCGTACCTACGATATGTGGAGGACCTTCATGGAATTATGCGTGGATGAGAATTCAATGGTTTTTCAAAATGATGGCTTTTCAGAAAGAAGCGCTGGAGAGACTGTCATGGAGGCCAAGAAATTTACAAAAGAGGCAAGTCAAAGACTCAGCCTTTTTGAGGAGGAGTACGAAAGACTTTGGACAGTGCTCACATGTGGCATGGCAGTCATGGAAGCAAGGATGACACGCACAAAACGAGACGTGAGTGTAGGAATCCATTCCAGTTCACATGGACATGAAATCATGTCTGACTTTGCATCGCCAGGCCCTTTAGGCACAAAACAGCGCGCGTTACGGCTGTTGTTTCACAACTACGGACGTAGATGTGGACACTTTCGAGGAGATGCATGAGAACTCAATGGAATTTCGTGGTGAACATTCAGCGAAAATGTGGCTGGATGTGCGCTGGAAATTTACAAAAATGGCAGAGGGCACTGAGAGTCAAAAGTCTGCACAGTGCCGAGGAGGAGTGCAAATCATTTTTGACTACACTTGATGCCAGGATGACATGCACAAATCATGTTAGAAGTGTAACAAGTTTCAATGCAGTTACATGGAAAACCCATGTACAATGGTGAGGCCTTTCAGGTTCGAGAAAAGTGCGCTCCCGCTCACATGAACAAATTATTGGTTCCCGTTCTTGTTTTTTTTGAAGAATGCGTGGTCCAAATGGCATTTTGTTTTTGCATCGTTTCGTGCTGACTGTCCCTTTGTTTTTCGTTTCCTTCACTTGGAAACGTTTGCTCGACGTTTCCAATTGCCATGCAAGACCGGGGTCAAAACTGTGGACAGTGGCTGATGTTGACTCCAAATTGATAAGCCCCCAAATGTTTTGTAGGGGGTAAACATTTTACAAGTAATTTATCACGAATTGGAGTAACCCAACAAATCAATAGTCAAAAATTGTTGATCCGGGGTTGACACTTGTAGATTTGTTTCCTGTCGCTAAAAAACATGATATCATTTTTCACTCTTACCGTGCATTCGATGGCATCCCTGAAAAAACTTTGATAGTTGCAGCTGTGGCCAACAGATTTTCTAGCTTTGCATTGGGTTTCATTTCAACCGTGAGAGTCTTGTCGGGTTTTTGGCATGAAAATTTGCGATGACTGCGTTGAACGCTTGAACGTGTCCAAAAATGTGTCTCCAACGGAGGCAACTTGCAGATTTGCCATTTTAGAAGATGCCAAAACCATAAATTAAATCATTCGCCTTTCATTTCGTCTAGTTTTTTTTTACTCCATTGCATTGTTGGAACTTGCTCAACCGTTGCCAGTCAGTTTGCATTTTGTCAATCCAATAGCACCAGTCCTGTGACCGGCTCTATTCTGAAAAGTAATGCGCTCAAACACAGGTTTTTCAGTGTTTTCTCTCGATTCTTTGCATTGCACCAAATCGAGTAGAACATGTAGAAAAATATCGGGACAACTTTGCAAAAACATGTTTCCTTGACAAGGTGTTCAACATTGCACAAAACCAGACAATAAATGCCAAAATCATTTTCATGCCATGGGTGTTTCAAGTTCTTGTTTTCAGGTCGGGTGCTTTTTGATGCTTTGAACTAGCATGCTGAACTTTATGATTTCACTCGTGCAAATGCTGGTTTGAGACATGTTTGGCAAGGCAAACAGAACTTTGTGGAAGATGTCGTGGCAGAAGGACCCATTGAACTTGTTTAATTTGGGATTATTTGCATTCCAACAAATCTGAGTTGGACTTTCGCCACAATGCTGTCACTGTGTTTGTGTGGAGACTGTTTGTTTTTGTTGTTTCTTTGATTCTTATGGTTATTTTTTATGTCGCTGTGGATCAATATCCATGCATAAACATGCAATTGTGGGATGAAAATCTGTTTGCCAGCTATTTTTGTTACCAAGGGTGCAACGTTTTGACCCCCAAAGGAACCAAACTCAATGGGCAGCCTGTGGCAGAGCCTTTGGGTTTGGAGGACATCTGGGTGGTTGAAACTCCTGAGGAGTTGGGAAGGTCAGAAATTGATCATATTTACATCAGTTGCATCAGTGATAATTCATCACATTCATCATATTCATCATGAAAAAACGTTTCTTTCGACACATTTCCTTTGATTTTTTTTCCCACACAAGTACCATCAATTACAGAATTGGAAACTCAATCTACCAATACCAAGAATACCATTGGAAATACCATTGGAAACATGACATTTTCATGACATTATCCCGGTGAACTCTGTGTCCGTGACGTCCGTAGGCTCGGATCGCCGCTCGTCAAGATGATGCAGAGAGCCTGGAGCTGTTGACGACGCTCTTGAAGTGGGGGATCCATGGGATCCATGGGATCGATGGCGGCGGTGTAACGTTTAATGTAACGTCGATGTACTACATTTTTAGGAAATCCTTCCTGGTGCATATTTGACATTAAAGCGCCCAAGACTGGGAGACACTGGGAGATACCTCGCTGATATTTCATCGATACTGTAGGTACGTTTCTTTTGGGGAAGCACACGGGTTGATATATTTAATATTTTTAGACATCCCCAAGAGTTCCAAAACGGATCGCGGCTTGGATGCAGGCGGTCAATTTGCGGCCTGGATGAGCAGGGGCGAACCTTGCTGTTCTACGCAGTTCGCGGAAATCGCGATGATGGAGGCCCTCAAAGCTTTATGGAGGTGGCCGTTGTCCCAGTCTAACCAGAATCTTGCCAATCATTTACCAATATAGTTTTATAACTTATATGTTTGTGATTCACCACTTAAATATGCCATTTGTCCCAATAGGGTACCCTTAATTTGATGGTTTATGGTCCCAATATGCACTTTGGGTACACACATATCCCAACAAAGGATTCAGTATCCCCAATCAAAAGTTGGGTGGCTACCCCGGTTATCACCAATTATACAGTAATCAAACAGTATATCATTTATAATAATATGAATCATATCTCTATTTATATGATTTTTATGTAATGTAAACATCCCAATTATGTGAAAATCTATACGATATACACATATCCCTATATATGTATATAAGATAAAATATGATATCAATACATGTATATTTGTATATGCACTTAAGAATCAACCATTCTCCCAATTACCCCAATTATCCCAGTATCCCCAATTTATTATCCCAAGTTGATACCCGTCGGTAATCAAACATGGCTTGCTGGAAATGCCCTCATTTAGTTCGATGATTTTCCCATTAACATCCCAAAAAAGTTGGGGGGATTTCCTGGCCAGCCATGTTTGATTACCGGATTGCATTCACAGTGTGTAATTAAAAACCATTTAACATCCTAATTTTCTGCCCAATTTAACCATCCCATTTCCATTTTAATTAAACATCCCAGTTGCCATAACATGCCAACCCATTTCACATCCCATTCAAATCCCAGCTTCCTGGAATTCTCCTAGGTCCAACTTTTTTGGCCAGGCCAAGCGCAAGCCTCGGCCGCGGCCGTCGCAAAGAAGCTCCTGGGTGCTGCCACACAGTGGGACGAGGTGCCCAGATATTTGGTGACCAGGCAGGGGCCGGATCTGCTGAAGATTATGGTTGGAACATACATAGACATACACAGGTATAAATAAATATGATGATAATCATGACAATAGTAATGATAACAATGATGATAATCATAAGAATAGTAATAGTAAGAATCGCAATAAAGATAGATACTGATAATGATAATAGTATATAATAATAGTAATAATGATAGTGATAATAATAATAATAATGATAGTAATAATGATAATGATAATAATGATAATGATAATAATAATAGTAATAATAAGTAATAATAATAGTAATAACAATAGTAAGAATAAAAGTAATAATAAGCAATCATAATAGTAATAACAATAGTAATAAGAATAGTAATAACAATAGTAATAATAATAGTAATAATAAGCAACAATAATAATACTAACAATAGTAATAGTATATAATTGTACTTATTGTCATAATTAATATTTTTGCATTTTCAAACCTTATCCCTCAGTCAGTTCCCAAGAAAGTAGAATGCACATCCAAGTAAAGATAGATTCTTACGATGATTTTTGAGACCTGGCGTGGTGTTGAGACCTGCGCTTGCTTGGTGCCAAAATCACTTCACAGAATCAATGCAAGTCTTTTTTTTGTTTTTGGAGCTTAGATTCTACATTGTGTCCTTAATGAGAATCAATCTGATGCATTGCAGCATGGTGGGATAGCATTTGTGTATTGGTGAGTTGCTGTCCTCATGTGGTGCTTTCTAGCAATGCCGAGGGACCCGTTTTTTTTTTGGTACGTGGCGACCAGGGAAAAGTCATGGGTCGGGCAGATCCTCTCGCAGGCACAATTTTGACGTCAATTTTCGCGCGAGCGCCTCCGGCATGACTCCATTGATGGAGGTTGGAGGGTTTGTCTTTGAAGCTCTGTGAACCTTGACCAACTGCACCGTTGTCATGCTTCCAAAGATGAAGGTGACTTGGGAATATGCATGTACATACTGCATAAGGGTCTCTGACAGTGGGCGTTCAAGTGTTTGATCTCGGCGGAGGCGACGCGTTTTGGACACGTTTTTGGAGTTGAGCTTCTGATGGAGCTCAGAGCAGATCCTCAACAAATGAACGCTAGAGGCTGTGGCTGATAGAACTCTCCAAAAGGTCAGACTTGTAGATGAAATATGAGGATTTGGAGGATGTTTTTCGGTGCCACAACTCGCAGGTCACACAGCGTTGGACGTTGCTCGGTCCAAAGTGTCCGAGTACCTGGACTTCCAGGTGCAATGGATTTGGTGTTTTTGTTTTTTTCCCGGCAGGAGACCAAGGTTCTACCGCAAATGTTCCCATCCAATTCTGGGAAATTGATGTGCTAAAGCGACCTCCAAGAATTGGGGTTGCTTGACATCCCCACAAGTACTTGTGGTAAAATTGGAGATGATTTATGTGTTTGGGTGTACCGCTGTATGGGCATGGGCCAAAACTTAAGACCCTCCGGACTACACATTTTGGTCGGCTTTAGTATTATAATGTATTACATAACCATCCCTTTGGGGGGTACCCAACTTTGACGCTTCCATGCCAGTCCACTTTCCATACATTGTTCTGGCCGTTGGGAAATGAGACAGAGATATCATTTGGGTGTGTCTGCAAATAGGGGTGAAACCATCGATTTTCAGACCCTATCACATCAAGTTGGTTAGTGATTTATCGATTTATCCCACCATATGCCCATTTCTCTGTGAGTCAAATTCTCGTTTTTTCCCATGGATTTTGGGGTCCATCCCAGGAGATGCAATGCTCGGAGAATCGTCTCACAGCGGTGGAGGCCGGATAAAGTTTTTCCAGGATGATGTCATGTTTTTTTTGAAACCAACTTTCCATGGAAAATAAAAAAAAAACTTCCAGGAATCCAGCTTTCCAATTTTCCGTGACAAAATGGTTTGCAGATTTCTTGTCGTGATCTCATTTTTCTGCAGGAGTGCATTGCGCGGGACCGCCAGCGCATTGCAGACCTGCTGATCCGCGGCTGTTAGCGAAAATCATCGAACCAGAGGAATCATACTGGCTGGGATATGGGTGCGTCTAAAATCTGAAGAACATCACAAAAATAGATGGCTTGTCATCATCATTCTGGATTAAAGTGGTCATAAATGGGGCATCCGCCATTTTTGGACAGATCCATAACACAGTCTTACGATTCGTTGTTAATAGCATTTCTCATTCTGGACGCAGCTTGGCCGTGGAGAAGACTACTTTGCGACCGATGCTTTTGGCTGCCAGGGACAATCACGCCTCTTACTGTATACTCAACATCATGTAGCAAACCTGGCTTTCGATCACCCAAACGAAAGCCACTGGCTGCGATCTTCTTCGCGCCGATGCGTATCAGCTTAGCATCCTTTGGGCTGCTGACCCTGACCCTGTTGCCCGTAGGAGAACTACTGCGCTTGCCGCAGCAGGGGTCCGTATGCGATGGGAACTGCCCCAACGGCTTAGAGTGCACATGCTTGGCTTTGAATCGTGGTCTTCGTATTTGTGAGCCAGAAGGTGGGGCCGCACTGTCGTTCCTCCTTGTGCGATAGGATGATCATCATCTGTCTCCACTTTTACACCACAGATTCTGTGACTTGCTTTCACACCTGAATTTTTCACCTATTTTTCACCTTTTCACCCCATTTTCGGGCCAAAATAGGGCGGCCTCTGGAGGCTTCCTATCTCCACCCAGCTATGCGGAAGCCTACGAGCGCCAGGGGCTCACCTGTGAGCCCCGGCTGCCACTGGGCGCCAAGGCTATGGCGCCTCCGCCCCTGGTCCCCGGTGTCGCGATGGATCCCAGGGAGCAACCGGCCTTGAAGAGCTGGGCACAAGATGTGGGGAGAGGCACATGGTGACGATGGTGATGTGTTAAGGGCTGAACTGTCGGGAAAAACTGGGATAGACATGGACAATGTTTGAACTAAGTCATGATGCTTGATGATGTTTGATCATAGTTTTCTTGGCCCTGGAAAGGGCAGCTTGCAATTTTCGGCCGAATTCTGATTTTTTCCCTGGCAGGCTTCTATTCCCAGTACCTGCTGATCCATCATCCGGAGGACCAGCTGTTGGGGGTTCCATTGCTGGCCGGTCCCGACGTGTCACCGGACTACTTCCACCGAGCCGCCCGGACGCTGCGGCATATCCTGCTGGACGCGCTGTCCAGCGACACCCTGAGCAGCTTGGCCCACACCGGGGTCCGCGTCTTGATCGCCGGACCCAACGATGGCGACCTGGATTTGCTGAAAGCGAAGATGTTGTATTTTCTCTTTCATTAACTCATTTAACTCACCATTTGGGGAATCTATTATAATCTATTGGGTTTTTTTTTGATACATAAAAAAATGAACCCCTGGCCCGCAAATCCAAGGCGACGAAGACGAAAACGATGAAAACGATGAAAACGATCCATGGTTGAGACATCCAGAGTGCAGCAAACATTTCACCACTGGACTTGGAGGTGGCTCACCCCTCTTTCCATCCACCGGAGTTTATCAAGATGAGAGCCAAGTGACTTTGGTGGAGGAACTCTTGCATACCATTCAGTGCCTGGGTCGAGAGATTGAAGCTTTGGTTCTGAAAAGTCGCAGATTTAAGAGGAAAACTCACCAGCTGTATTTTCATGTATTTCAAATAGTTGCAAAATACTTGTAAATCTTTCATTCTCAAGCCACTGATTTGACCCAACGCTCTGATCTTTGCAGGTATTGTGCGCTGTCTCCCCGCAGCGTGTGCATGTACCACAAGGCCTATCAGCATGCCATGCGGCATCACCTCTACACCACTGATGGCTCCGCAGAGGAAGTGGATGGCGAGCCAGTGCCTACCGTTCAAGCCGATGAATATTTGGCCATGGCGATGCATCGATGGTTTGGCAGTGTGGATGGGAAGAATGAATACAAGGTGCCATGATGATCCATGATGTGCTGCCAAATGGCTGCCATTTTGGGGCAAAACTGCTGCAAAACTGCAAAACTGCAAAACTGAATCTTTGCCTGGTCGCGATGTTGTGAGGGAGTTCAACTCATTTTTTCCTTTAAGACTTAAGACTTGATGGATCTTGATGGATCCTGGTGGTTTGGATCCTGTGCTTCGCAGGTTCCGGGAAACACCGCAGATGCCACGGGCCGGCAAGCGCTCCAGGAACAGGACCGGAGGGGTGTCTAGTGGCATTTCTGATTGGGGCTTGTTGAAGACTTTGTTGCTGTAATAGATAGTCATGGTCGTGAGTCATAGTGCTTAACTAAGCCGATGTGTTTTTTTTGAACCTTGTTGAACTCATAGACAGCTCCGAGGATCCAAAGGCCTTCTGCATTTTGTCCAGCATTTTTCGTGCGGACGATGCTTGGAACCCGGATGAGACCTTGGAACCCTGGGCCAGCCATGGAAATCGGAAGATGGATCTGAGTGAAGTTCAACGCTTTTGCAAACCCGTGCGGTGCCACAGAAATTCTGGGCAGGACTGGGTCGATTTCATGGATTGCTCGGGACAATCCTTTGCGGAAGCTGTTGGCATCATCACACAGTTTGAGAGGGGTGCATCAAGATGCATCGAGTATCATTTTTTTCAGATACAGTCAGTGCATTTTATCCCCAGCCATGGCCCAGTTTTCTCAGGCTCCTTAGGTCATCCCTGCCACAAGAAACTTCGACTAGTTCAAAGTTGGTTGTATCCACATGCAGCTTCTGTTTCATGCATTGATGGCTACGGAACCATTTATTCCAGTTGCAAGTGGGTCGACAACCCCAAGTTCTGGGGCAGATCTCCCTGATTTTCAATCACATGGAGGCCGAAATGGGATAGAAAAAGAACGAAAAAGAAACAAAACAAAACACACATATATCATATATCGCATATGTATACATAGTATATACTATATATATACTATGTATATATATATATATGCAAATATGATATATATATATACACATGCATGTATCATGGTATACTATCCATCATCGCCTTTCAAAGATTTTAAAATGCAGAAGATGTGGAAACACGTACTGCCGCCGCCTTGGTGCCGCCCAGGTCCTAGAAAAGTTGGCCATGGGGTGTCCCAAAAGTAGCATCTCCTGGCCCAGCACCCGGCCGCGGATGATTCCATGATGCATGGAATATGGCTATGGATCAATACCTATTAATACCATTTTTAGTGGGATGAACATCCATTTACCAGCTATTTTGATGTGAACAGAAGGGGTACAAGGTTTTGACACACTGCTATATCTTCCAATACATGGAATGGGAATGTGCGAATGCCAAAAACATCCAACACTTTTCCGCTTGTGAAGCTGGAGAAGATGTTTCTGGCATTTTTAAAAGACATCGGAGCTTGTCACATCAATTTTTGCTGTAGAAGTGTCTTCCTGAGTTCGCTCGCGAGCCTTCATGTGTTGCGCCGGCATGGCACTGAGCAAATCCAAAGTGGCCGTTGGCCATGTAATTAAGCTAGAAATACATTGAATGGCATGGCATGGAGGTCAAAATGACGACCAAATCTTGAAGGATTGGATTCGGACCATACCCATTTCATCCTCCCTAGCAAGAGTAGATGTCAGGACAGCTGTTTATGTGGATTGACGGGTACGGAAAGGAAGGAAAAAGGAGCTGCAGTTTCTGACAGTACAGGGCACAGCCACCACCGAGCTTTTGAAGTTTCCTTGTGTGGCAGCTGGGCATCATTGGAGTAAAAGGATTTGTTGTTTGACCGTTCAACGTCCTGATGCATCCATGGTTCACAGCACCCCAACATGGTGTTGGAATGCGCGAGGGACTGTGCGGAGATGGCAAATCATCATTGAATCAACAGCTGAAACGACACCAACGGATTGGCATCAGTCAGTATTTGTGTCAATATTTTGCAGTTTAAGCACTGAGCAGAGTATTTGTGTCAATATTTCAGTGTCACTGAGCAGCCCTCGTGCCTGCACCGTGAAAGCGACATGTGGGGCTTCTCAGGGGATAGGGGCAGGGCCGTGGGTGATCGGTGGCCGCTGGCATCGCCGAGGCCGCCGCGGCGCAGGAGCGCTGCGGTGCCAGCGACCCAGGTCGCAATGCCGCCATCGTGGATGATCCAAGAGGCCTGGCCTGTCATTACCGACCACACTAACCCCACTAGCCATCTATAGCCTATTTTTTTATTCATTTTATAGTAATGTATAGTATTGTATAGTATACTTATATACTTATATAATCTTATATACCATACAATTATTGGGATACCCAATTTTGACCCATACCCCCATATGATCAATTTTCATCTATAGCCATTTCTTCTTGGGGTCAGGTCCATTGTAAATCTGTGCATCAACACCTCAGGCTGCTCGGGCTGCCAAAGAGGCTGTGGCCAAAGAGGCTGTGGCCAAAGAGGCTGTGGAGGCAGATGCAGTGAATATGGATTCATTCCAATCCCTTTGAAATTTGGGTCTCAAAACTGGAGAATTCGGGATTCCCCCCAAGATATAGCAAATTTCATCTGAAAATGATGATAAGCCACTGGATTTTTGGGATACTTATTGGATTTTAGGATACCCCATTTTTTAGCCACGCATACAAATGATTATAAATGTCTCTTCGACCGTCCAGGAGCTCCGAAGAGTCCAAAACAGCCGGCAACTCATATCTGTTCTGCTGTAAGTGGAGGAATATTTCTTACATTTTCAAAATATGTTGTAACTACCAAACAACGTAGTTTTTCCGAAAAGTATTACAACCTATATCTATAGCCACCATTTGACGGCATTTTGGAAACGGAGAACCATTGTGGCGTTTGACTTTTGGGGCCCGTTCCTGTTCTGGCTTTGCCTAGGTCCGGGAAGATGCAAATCTCTGGTGCGCAACGACCGCAGCTATACTGGAGGAATTGTGGCATGGACGTCGGACAGTGCACATGACATATATTTGGAAAAAAGATATCTAGCAACCCCATACCGCTGAAGAGAGATCCAGTACAAAAGCAGGGGTTCTGGGAGTTTCTCATCATTAGGGGATGGGACCTGTCAGGTCACCAAGACATGTGACAACCTCCATGTCGCAGCTTCTGAACTTACACCGCTCAGCGCAATCCTGGAGAAAAGCCATAGCCCCTGGAGGTGAAACCGGACTGGAGCCGAACACATCGGAGTCAAACCTTCGATTTCATACAATACTCAAGAGTGTACACCTAACATCACCTAACTTTCATTCTCACCCAACCTACATGCCCCATGTTTGATTTTCGTAAATCCAGCTTCAGCAGAAGAAGGTTACAGCGACACGAGATGACAACTGCCAGTGGCACACAGCAGATCTTGCGAATCCTTGATTGCTTGGCCAATCTCCGGCCGCATCCACCTGTGAGGACTGTGAGTTGAGAATGTGTCATTGTGCCAAAAGAGTCGGTCGAAGATGGCTGTTTGATGTTTACAGAACCTGTTACCAGAGGTCAGACAGCACGATAGCCAGTTAAGTTTTCGTGTTGCGCAATTGAGCCTTCACATCCGTTAATATTTCGCAAATGCTGAGGGATCCTTTTGACAGCCCAGACAGTCCGCAAAAAAACACATTTGGCCTTCATCCTCTCAAATTTTGTCACAAGTTCGAGAACATTGCGGATGGTTCCTTTGGGCCGCTGCAGGAATGGCGCAAACGTTTGGGACTTAAGCGCTTCATCCAGTAAAAGGTATTGGAAGCAGACCTCCAACAGCGAGGAATAGATGGATAGGGGGAATAGATTTCCTCACCACAGAAAAACTATGTGAATTCTGAATTCCCATCATCCCATCTCCAGAAAAAAATCGATTCCCATCCATTCCCATCCCAACTGGAGTTTGTCTTTCCTTTCCGACTTGTTTTTTCGTTGCCGATTCCTACCCTGCCACCGTAGGTTCAATGGTATCGTGACCGCCTGGGATGAGAGTCAGGGCTATGGTCTAGTGAAGCCGGATGGGGTTCAGGCGCCTTTGTCCGCATCGGGTTATGGGGGTGTTGGATATAATTCCCAGTGCGTATGTAATTAGTAAGCATGGATAGGATATACGTATAATTATATATGTATAATTATGTATAATTATGTATATAGATATATAAATCCAATTTTAAACGATGTTTATTGATAGTTCACACAGTTCTAAATGGGATAAACCGCATTTTCGATTGGGATATCAGTGTCAGCACTTTACCGACTGGGACGCACATCCAAGTTGCCAAGTTGCGGGCATTGGGGCCATGAGCTGACATCTTGCATCCAAAGCTAAACTGGTCAATCTTTGTGCATTGACAGTCGGAGGCATCGGAGTTCGCAAGGGTTTGTAGATCTTCCCATATGCTTTGGGCAATTTGGAAAGCATCACCCGATGGTTGAAACGGGCCACTGACCCAGGACGGAGCCCTTGACATCATCGTGCGTCGAATGGTGCTCTGGAAAAAATATCTGGGATTTGGGGAAGTCCTTGGAGGTCCTCAAAGCCATTGATTTCCATTCTTGATTTTCCTTTGAACATCGATGATTCCATCCATGTTTCCGGGTTTTTCCCTTGATAGAAAATTCGTGGGATCCAAAAATTAGATCACCCAAAATTTCATTTTTTTTTTTTCAGCATTCTCTTCACGCCCGGTCGATGTCTTGTGCCCGGTCGATGGTGGGATATCAGGTGCTGGGCGACCAGCAGATCTGCCCCGGCTGCACCGTGCAGTTGGAGGCAGATCTCTCCGAGGCGTGGCGGGTTTTTGCTGCATCGGCCAATGTACTCGCCGTATATATAATATTATATATACAACACTATTATATATACAATAATATTATACATAATAATAATATTATTAATATATATATATATAATACATACACATACATGCACATACGTTACATACATCTAGATTGCACATTTCTGTCATATGACATTTCATGGTACCATTCGCAAATCTGATGATTTTTCAGTTTTCGTGCTGGCCACGTCGTCCAGGACGCTGGTTCCACCTAGATCGCCGCCAGGCCAAATCGAGCTACGAAGCCACGAAGTGTGTGGTGGTTGGAGCACCCATGATGGCCCAGCAGGTGGTGGATGGTCCTATGGTGGGTCGAAGGTCGAACCAAAATTATATGTGTTTTTAATTCTATCCAGTCACCCATTAAAACAGTGGGTCCACTGATTTTGACTTGGCTTCTCAATCTGGGTGGGCCAACTAAAGCCTTCTGCCGTGAAGAGGGAACTGCTGTGTTGATGTTATAGGGGCTCCCACGAGTCGCAGGTTGGGTTCGATGAACATCTTACAAACCATACATCATCGGTAAAGCCATGCTTTCCTGCTTTCCTCTACATGTTTCGTCTCAGTGCTGCTTCCTCCACCTCGCCCTAGTGACAGCAGGAATTGATAGACCCTTTGGACCCTTTCACCAGTTCAATCACCTCCATGCCAGGGACAAGTACAAGCAGACGGCTGCAATGGCTGTGCAGGCTATGGCGGAAACTGCTGTGGAGGTTGTGGCCAATGCGGAGGATGTGGTTGCGGCTGCAACGCATGTCAAGGATGCGGTGGCTGTGGCCAATGTGGATGTGGTGGCAACTGTGGATGTCAAGGATGTGCCGGCGGATGTCAAGGATGTGGCGGTTGTGGATGTCAAGGATGTGGCGGTTGTGGATGTCAAGGATGTGGTGGTTGTGGATGCCAAGGATGTGGCGGTTGTGGATGCCAAGGATGTGGTGGTTGTGGATGCCAAGGATGTGGTTGCGGCTGCGGAGGATGTGGCGGTGGTTGTGATGGGGGAGGCTGCTGCGGTGGATGTGGCTGTGGCTGCGGCGGTTGCTGCGATGGCTGTGGCTGCGGCTGCGGTTGCCAAGGATGTGGAGGCTGCGGTTGCCAAGGCTATCAAGGATGCGGTGGCTGTGGCTGTGGTGGTTGTGGATGTCAAGGTTGCCAGGGCTGCCAAGGATGTGGAGGCTGTGGCTGCCAAGGATGTGGAGGCTGTGGCTGCGGCGGCTGCGGCGGCTGTGGATGTGGATATGGCTGCGGCTGCATGGGCAATGACATGGGTTGCGGCATGCAAGGCATGCAGGGCATGCAAGGAATGCAGCAAATGGGCAATGCCTGCATGAGCGGCATGGGTTCCGTCCTCAGTTTCATGAGACCTTTCCTGTATTCATGACATCAGAACCGTGAGAACCTGTTGATTTTGACCATTTGTAGCAACGCTTGGAATAACTTCGACTTCTTAGGTGGCAAAGGGTCCAGTGGCTACGGCAAGGCCGGTCCACCTGGCAGGCCGCGGATCCGGGGATGTGAGACGGCCAAAGTCGACCCAAAGTGGAGCATGGAGTTTTCCCTCCCATTGGCAAGTGGATTTCTACAAGGTATGTTTGTATAGATAAATCAGTGGCGATCACTCCATCCTCTTCCAAAAGTCACTGCTCTGAGTGAATCAACCTTCAACCGTCCGCCATTGATGGTTGACAATCCACGACCCATATTACTGTTCGCCCCTCGCCAGGGTCACTCCCATCTTTCAGGAACGATCCCTGCGAGAACCTTTTTGTGACTGGATTGTCAGGGGCACTCAGCTGGCTGGAGGTGCTCCAAAAATCCAGTTGTTTCGGTTTATCATCACTTTCCCACTAAGGTTGCTATGTTGCGGATTTTTGGGTATCCCGATGTTGCAGGATTTTTCTGCATAACCCAGCAGTTGAACTTTGGGAGAACAGGACTTAGCAGAAGTGTTTCAGACTGAGGGTTGTTTAGCACCAACTGCTGCAGAGTTGGATGGCCAACTGAGGCCGCCTGAGATTGACGAGAGGGGCTTGAGGGAATTGTTCACCTACTACGGAACGGCCAGGGAACCAGTGGGGTCGTTTGATCCGATGCTGATACCCTTGGAGCTTCCAGCAGTGGGAAAAAAGAAGCCACAAAAAGTTAGAATTTTGGATCCTGGAACCAACAAATCCTGGGGTGCCCTGCAAACCATTGGATGCTGACCTTCGGTACAATGAAAGAGGATGACAGGATGACCAACGAATCACCTGTGAAGTTGGCCTCGTGGATTGCCGAGGTGGTAAGATGCAAGGTCTTGCCCAACAAGGGCCAGATGGACCGTGCGGGGTTGGTGGAGATGATTGACGTAGACCCTTGGACTGATGGAAACTGGGAAGGGGAATCGATGCATAGGGCGAACTTTAAGGGGCAGCAATTTCTCGGATCCATACCTTGATGGTTGTTGGAAAAGCCATGAGTGTGTCCTGGTGATTTCAGCATGTTCAACTCAAATTCTTGTTTTTCCATGGGATTATTACACAAAGTACTTCAATATTCTTCAATATTCTTGAGATGGATTGCTCAACATCAACCACCGGTGGTCCTCTTGGTCCGACCTTGGTCCCTAAGGGGCAAGCGGCCTGGATCGTGAACAACCTGAACGGGTGCACGCCGGCATGTCCTTCAGGTATGGGTCATGGAGTACCAATGGACCCACAGAGTTGGTCATTTTCACTCAGCCATCGATTCGAGGTTAGACATTTGACCCACAAGCAGGAGATTCCGCTGTGCAAATTTAGGAATTCTTGGGTTCAAAAAAAATGCTGTGCGAAACTCCAGCTTTTATTGAGCAGATCCTGCCCTTTTTGGCTAAGGCAGGCTGAGTCACCAAATTTTGCGCCAGGAACACGCCGGCCGGTTTGACCTCACCCATCAAAGTGGTCTTCTCCCAGTCCCAGCGGGGCAAGGCGACTTTTTTTCACCAGGTCTTTTTTTGGGTTAATTACCAGGATTTTTATGGGATTCAATGGGATTCAATGGGGATTCAATGCCACTAAATGGGATTTCATCAGTCAAAATGGGGGAATTTCAATGGGCAATGCTATGATAAACCCTGGGATTTCGAGAGCCTCAGATAGCCCATTTCGAGACAACATGGTTAGTGTTTTGATGGTCCCACCCCATTTTGTAACATTTCTAGTTGCAGGAAATACATACACATAATATACACACATACATATATATATATATACACATACATGCATACACATTATATATATACATATATGTATACATATATATATATATACATACATCCATGCATACATACATGCATACATATATACACACATCCATGCACACATACATGCATGCATGCATACATTACATTGCATTATATTACATTACACTACACTACACTACATTACATTACATTACATTCCATTACATTACATTACATTACATTACATTGCATACACACACACATAATATATATATATATATACACATATATATATATATACATGTTATGCCGCATGATCTACCTTGGTCACTCCAAATATAGGTACATATCATATAGGATTCCTCGCTGTCTTGTGGCCCCCGGCATCGGTTCGATGCCGCTGCGTAGGGTGCATACCGTCAATCGCCTTATGACCAACCGCAGCGGGGCGCCTCTGTGAGGGTTCAGCATATGTGACGTTCCTCATGGGATAGAGTATATATATATGTATATGTATGTTAAGTAGATCTTACTTGAGACTCTCCACTTCCACCGAAGATCATGTTATTCAAATATATTCAAATGATTTCCAATTTTTCTGATGTTTTGAAAGACCCCTGTGCCTCGAGCGCCCTGAAGATCTCACAATGCCATAGCTGGCTGAGGCCCGGAAACTTCTTGGCGGGCCTGGAGATCAAACTGGCCACCCACACCAATGATGCTGGAAATAAGCTTTGGGTGGGACAGATCCCATTGGGAACCAGCAAGGACCCAGACTTGTGTTGCTGATGCATCCCATGAAAATCCTTCACAAATCCGTAAGGTTGATGGGAATATTCGGAATATCAATAGTTTCATTTTGGTTATAGTTATATACATAAAATATTTAGATCTCCAATACATAGTGACATAGGCATAATATGGCATCATTGTTGGTAAAACTCCAAGCTTTTCTTTCGTTGGCGTATGTTGGCGTTGTCTTACGTCGATCAGGACGTGTTGTGGCACGAGTTCACCAAGTTTGGTCCTGCCCGGGGATCCCGAAACTCCAGCAATGTTCGCCGTGAACGTTTCAAAACCCACAAGGGACACAAAAAAGGTGGGTTGAACATGGTTGAACCACAAATGCCCTGTGAAAGTGCTACTGTTGAAGTTGCTTTTGGCATCTTTTGGCAGGAAAGATGGAAACATGTTGTCCTTAGGTCCAAGACGTCTACATAAGAGATGATGGCAAGGTCTACGGACGAATGTCCCTGGGTGGCAGTCTTTTGGCAGTTCTGGTCTTGATCAAAATTATTATTATTGTATTATTATTGTTTTACTATTGTATTTTTATTGTTTTACTATTGTATTATTTTTGTATTCTGATTGCACTATTATTGTGTTACGATTGTATTATGATTGTATTATGATTGTCATTATTATTATTATTATCATTCCAATTGAAGCAAAACTGGATTTTTTGGGATTGTAAGCCACCCCATTGTTTGGATACCCAACGATTTTTGTCCCGAACCAAACTGCCATGTTTGTTTCGAAGAGATCGCCATTGTTGTTCGGTTATATGATCATACTTTTTTCGATTCGATCCCCATATTTCTTGTTAGTTGAATCACTAACAGGCATTTAATCTCTCACTGTGTTTTGATTACATCCCCATACTCGCTCATACTGCCCGCATGGTTCATTTATATGCCCGTAATATACCCCCCCAGGCTTGTTGGATGTTGACTCCCCATATATTTCTCGTTGGATGTTGAGTGATTCGGGACCGCGCAGGTGGGGCTTCATCACCTTCGTGGACGCCAGTGGGGCCAATGAAGCATTGAGCGCCTTCCAGTCCCTTGGCCGTCGTGGCTGGGGATGTAGTCAATGTAGTAATACTCGGTAAAAACATGTAAACATGTGATCAACATATATCGAAATGATCAGTGGTTCCTACATTCTGACATGCTGATCCAAATCCATGTGCGCCCCAAAAAGGGCTACGAGAAGGGGTGTGCCACGCAATTTAATACAATTCAGGCAATTCCCTTCAAACAAGCGGCATGGAAAACTCGCTGATCACTGGGGGTATGACTGGGCTTGCAAATGCTTATGAAACTGGTCTTGTGGGAGTTTACATCCCGACATTTCATCTATTCTTGGGTGCCATATGTTGGGACGATGGGGCTGCACCAGGGTATTTTCATTGAAATAACACAATGCCCATTTGATACCTGGCATCCAAATCGACTGAGGACTGGTGCTTTCAACTCGGGTAACCAGGCCAGCAATGGGACGGATGGGACGGCTTCCGCTGTCTTCTGAATTTGAAGGTTGGTTTGAAGACAGAGAGTTGTTGGCTATCCAAGGTCTAAATTTCTCTTTGACTCATGTGAATGAAACACAGACAGGTAGACTCAGGTAGACGGTAGATGTATTCTGACTTCTGGTGAAAGCAGACTTCTTGTTTCGCAGAGTGATTGCTGCTTCTTGCACTCGGTTTCACAGCTTGCACATAGCCAGTCCCCATGAAACAGGATACATCAGCAACAGCCACCATGAAAAGAACAGTTGGACACATTTTTGTGGATATCAGTTCAGTTGAACTTTGAACCCCTTCGATTTGTCAGATGCTTGCCACAAAGGTTGGTAGAATTGCCCGTGCAACGCAAGCTTACCCGAGACCACACTTACCTTCACCAGAAAGCTCATTCCAACAAAACACTTTTCAAGATTGAGAATCATGACTACTTCCCAACAACCAGCAGCCCTTAAAACCATTCTACAACCATATAAGTTGAAGCATCTCATGTGACAGAAACACATGAAGCTGTGACTGGCTGCCAATGGAGCTGGAAAGCTTGCTGGAGGAGTACCAGGCTGATGGTTGCATCTTTCCAGCTCCTTGGCGACATCAGACAGCTGAATTATTGATATGGATGAACCTTGGGAATGTCTATTCTGAATTCTCGCCTGCCATTTTGGGGATGTGAGCTACCCTCAATCTAACCCGGCAGAAAATCCATGAGATTCCCCATTGATAAGCCCTGATGTATCCAATTCATGAAAATCTACCATTGACAGTCATACAGTCATACACGATATATGGATACACACACATACATATTCATATATACATATTCATATTATAGTAATATGTCTGTGTATATATATAATATATATATATACACAATGTATATGTATTTATTAAAAAAAAACAACATTTGCAGATGATTTCCCCATCCCAAAAAATACGCGGGGAACTCCCCGGGCTGCCGAAACGAGGTGAAGGGCCTGTGCTCCGCCGAGCGCTTGGATGAGATCGATGCCTTGCTGTCCAAGTTGGTGGCGGATCGACCACAGGTGGGGCATGTGAGGATTGCTCAAAATCATCGAACTACATGGGGATTATAATCATCCCATTTTCATAATCATCCCATCACATCGTGCATTCGAATCCTATTCTAATCCATGATTTGAATGGATTTGATAGGATTAGAATGCACAACGAATCGGATGTACTTTGATGGGATTTCACCAACCGATTCTGATACAATCTCGTATTTCAACATTTTGCGGACTGGACAATCACAATTTTTGAATAGGCAAATCATCGAACTAAATGGGCAATTTTGCATATGTTAAGTAACCAGAGGGTAGCGGTTTCACATGGTTTATAAAGGGATGGGACCCCCATGGATGGATTGAGAACGGATGGTTTATATGGTTGGATCAATCCGAAACGGGCTGTTTGATGCGAATCATGACCAATTTTGTGGGTCCACGAACTTGATCAAGAAATCTGACATACTGTAACCCCCGAGAGAAGGAAGATTAAGACTTAAGAAGAAATGCAGCTTGATGCAGCATGCACCTTTGATATCCTTTGATTAGTGCCCAAACAAATCTCAAACATGACTTGGATACATCGTCACATCCAACAGAAGATGTTTTTCAGGAGTTCTTTTTCGTCATCATCACGAGGTGGAGAAAGGCGATGAGCAAAACTTGGCCCCGGAGGATTTGTTGAACTTGCATCTCACATGCAAGGAGACGGATGACGGGGAGACCTGAAGTGGGATGCTGCTTGCCTGGCTATCTCTTGCAGTGCCATTTTTTGGGATTCTGATTCAATGCTTTTGGCTGTCTGCGGAGTCTTTCAATAGCAAGTGGCATGCAACATGTTGTGGATGAATTCGCACTGTGCTACTAGCAATATCAACTGACACTTGCAAGAAATGATCTCAACAAATGACCTCCATTGACCTCCATAAAAGATTAAAACCCCAAAGGAATGTGTCACACCCAAAGATGTAACATATAACAATGTACCCTTACTGCCAGCTCCACAAAAATTGAGGAGGTGCTGGAGCTTTGCCGGGAGCCGTCCGTGTTGCGTTTGGCTGCGCTCATTTTGGGAACTGAGGACCGGTTGGGGATCTGTGGACTGGTTGAGGGGGGGAATATGTCTAATTCTTGGTGAACATCTCATGGCTGATGATCATTTTATTGGTAAAACATTGGATTTTTTGGGTATCCCGGCATACAAAACCATGAATTTGTTGCTGGGAGTTGGAAACATCAAAATGAAGGGCGTTTTGCTAGGAAGGGTGCTTGTTTCATGAATGTGGAAGGGACATCTTGTGTGGGAGCAGTTTTCGGAAGGAATTCAAGTGACGTGCCTTTTCAAGCATATCATGAATATTTTTGGTAACATGCTTTGCCAAATGATGGTTACAATGAAGCCCTTAACAGTGCTTTACAGAAGATTACATTTTTTTCTGGTCGATGTTTCACGCAGAACTTGAAATGCTTGTGCTTGCTTCCAACCCACACGTGGACAACAAAACGCCTTGGCACCTTCGCTTCGGGCGGATTCCAAAATTTTCTCTGGTGAGGACCTGAGCGTTTTCACCTCACGAATCCTCTGCAAAGAACCCGGTACGGGCAAGGAAATTGTGTGGCATCAGGACAGATGCGTGGGTTTCTAAAGAAACATCGTCAGATGTGTTTATCTTGCAGCAACCACCATTTGCATGTGGATTGTTCAGGATTTTGGAATTTTAAAGCATGCATTGGAAATTCATGATATTTCCATATGTCTCCCCGCGCCCTGTCCGTTGCAGGACTCCAACTACTGGCCGTTGACCGATCCGGCGAACCCAAAGCCTTCGTCCCAGCTGACTTTGGAGGACGTGGCGCCTCAGGTGACCTCGCTGTGGCTGGCCGTGGATCGGGTCAGGGAGGACAACGGCGCCATGGAAGTGCTGACCTTCAGGGCGCAACCCGAGAGCTGCCAGATGTTGCCACAGGAATTTATTGTGGATGCTGGGGGATCTACAGATGGCTACCTGGAGATATTATGATGATAGATGGGATATGAGTGGATGGGGGGATGGATGGAATTGGATGGGCAGTTTGTAAGTGCTGAGGTACTGATGTTTGATGGTATTCAAGGGGGTTACTGGCTTACTACATGTATCTACATGTCCCTTGATGGTTTTGGGATGCAAAGGTAAGGTTTGCCTTGCTCCCTTGTGTTTGGCCAGAGGTTTTGATAACTTCAACCTCTCCCTGGACGAGTCCAAGCTGAACGTCGGCAAGCGGCGGAGGGTCACCATCCAGCGGGGCGAGGCGGAGTTCCATTCGGCCTACACCATCCATCGCAGCGACCCCAACCGCAGCACCATGCGACGTCTGGCGTGGATTGTGCGCTACTGCGCCACAGGGACGCGGGTGGTGCCAGGGATCCGAGGCTCCTTTGATGAAGGCTACCGGCTGGTGCCGGTCATGGGCCGAGGCGCCGTGGAACTGGAAGGATTGCATTCGGTGGACGACAAGGAGGATGGCCGGGTGGTTCGCAGCATCTATGCTCCATGTTTTGGAAATGCTGTGAAGGAGTTGAAGAAGTGAGATGGCCATTGATCGTCACGACAAAAGTTGCGTAGCTTGTGCTGGAGCTTCGCGTGCGTTTCTTGAAGATGTGGCAGATGTTCATCAAAAAGGATCAAAATCATAGTTTCCAAAATGTTCCCAAGAAAGAGACGGTTCTGAGCATTTTCCATGCCATGTCGCCCCATGTCAGGCCGGTGGCATGCCAATGCCGGGCGGCCCCATGCCCATGGAGCAACAGCAACAGTCTGTGCCTCAGGTGCTGCTAATGCCACCATAGCGATACCCCAGGAACAAACCATTTGAGTCCTTTGTGTGGTATCCCACAGCTTTAACAGCTTCAGAACGGAAGACTGATGAATTGCCAGGACCAAGAAACGCAGATCTTAAGGTAGATCCATGAAAGTTCGACATTTCCCACGTGCTTTCATGAGCATCCAGATGCATCCAGATGCATCCAGTTCCAAACTCTAAACTGTAGGCCCTTGCAAGTGCGCCCGCGTGCTGACAATCCCTGCAAGCGCGGATGCTGAGCTGTGTGATTGAGCGCGACTTGAAATGCCGATCGGAGCATCCATCCCTGAAATGCAAATGTTTGTCGAAATGGTCATTTTCTTAGGTAGCAAATCATCACATTTTGGGGATACAACAGTTTGATCAGTTTGACCCATGCCCAAATTGGTTTGATTGGCCCAAACCCATGCTTTTTCAGGATGTTTTGAGCCCTGGAATGGCAGCATCTAGCAAGAGTCACCAGCGGACCGTGCCACAGCCGATGTGTGTGACCAGCAGAGGTTGTGGGTGGGTGGCATTCCTCATGGTGCGACGCAGAACAACTTAAGAGATGAGTTTAGCAAAGTTGGCGAGGCGCAAGGGGCGGGTGTGGATGGCATGTGCCATGCCATTGCAATGTGGCACCAAGTTGCACCAAGATGCACCAAGATGCACCAAGATATGGAGCAGTTGGAGCTTGGATTTGCCAATTCAAGATGTCGCATTTGGAACTTTGCGCCTCACGTCCTAACGAAGGTGAATTTCAGCCTTTCAGCGTACGGATACGACATGTGATTTGAAACGTCCGGACAAAGCGGACATGGATCTCCGGGGGCGACGACTCACTAAGTCATCGGTGCCGACCTCACCCTGGACAAATGTCATAGTCCAGCCACAGTCAACAGTCATAAGATGTCATAAGAGTCATGAAAAGATTGGTGTGTATGAATGGTTGAGTTCCACTACATAATCATGCTTCCCACGTGTTTCCAGCACAAGTTGCAAGCGTGGTGTGATGTTTGTCATGTGTGAAACTTGCAGGCTTAGATTCTGTTTTCAGACTGCAGCCTGAAACCTTCCCTTTTAGGGGTGACAATACAGACAGCTACTTGAATGACTGAGACAAGGTTAAGCGAAATACGCTTGTGAGGGCCTCAAGCATACATGTATGGCATTCATGTAGAGTATCATTTCGGGTAAATGTAGGCCATTTTGAAAGATCAAAATTGCGACAGTCTGCTCTGCCACTCCATGCAAGAAGCAGTGGCAATTGTCGACCAACTCGCGATAGATAGTCTTGCAAATATCCCAGTTTCAGCCAAGAAGCCGAGGTGATTTGTTGGACGACTTTTTCTCAGCGCATCTTTTTTCCATAGGGGCAGAAACATGTGACAGGAACGTTCTATATGGCGCCTATGGTTATGAATATGACAGAAAGTGGGTACCTGCATTCAAACATATTGATGTCAGTGCAAGGGCAAGCACAGAATGCAGATTTCAAAGATTTTCAACATATCAGGTGTATCATTTCAATCTCAGATCCTTTGTCATTAGGATGGTCCCGGATTGACCGGACCCTCCGCAGCTGGGTGTGAGTGGAACTATGCCAACGGGCCAACGGGGCAGAACTACTTCGATGTGCCATGGAATCCTAGATGCCAGTGAAAGCACCGTCTGGTATGTTGAAGCATGAAAAGTCAAATGATGAAAATGTCAAATGTTTCAATGTGGCAGTTTTGAATGCACTTGAAAAATTGAAACATATTTTGTGGCAGCAACAGCATTGGATAGTGCAGTGACCGTGAGGAATTCCGATGGCCCCTCCAGTGACTGCTGGAGTTGGCCCGCCAGCCTTCACATAGCGTGAATGTTTGCATCGTACATTCAGTTCAGATCAGTTCAGTGTGTATTCACAAACTACCGATGCATCGACAGTGCCATTCCAAAAGCGCTATGGTTTCACAGCTGACACAGTGATACTGCCATGCGACACCACATGTCCCGGTCATTGGCTGCCCCCGACCGTGCCGACCGTGGGGCCCCTGGGAGGTGGTAGATGTCTTCCTGAAAGATGATGGGCAACGCACCGGCCGACTGCCACAGCCTAAGTCTGGGGGATAGGCTTGGCAGTGGGAAGAGTGATGGACTAAGGACTAAAGTTGTGTCTCCTTAAGACGGGTGCAGTTTTTTGTCGAAGTCTGGGCACTTCCTGTATTGACCAAGTACATGCATTGATGGTGGAGCTCGCTTGCTCAACAGTCGCATGGTTTGGATTCTTGCCAAGGACCCTGTGCTCCCATTGATTATCCAGTGCAGATCGATCAATGCAATTTCTTGGACATCCTGCACGCTTGTTTGCTTGAGATAAACATTTCCCCAGCTTGCCAGCAAACACGTTTGAAGTTATTTTTTTCACCACCCACATGACTTACGCGCCCATGCTATCAGCATCCAGCCATGACGGAAGTTGATAGCTCCGACCACTCCAAACGTCATCCGCTGAGAGCTCCCGCGGATGCCATGGCATTGGGCAACTTCTGCGATGGCAGCCACAGCGGTATGACACTCAGTCGCCCGCAACAGGGGATTTCAATCAAGCTTGACCAACAGTTTGATAGTGAAGATAATGATATCTTAAGTACCATAAAATGGTGCGTTTTAATTTATATATTGTGCATGTCTATACACATATATCATACGTATATTAATGTGTGTGTGTAATATATATATATATACACATACATCTCTCTTTCTCTATATATACATATATATATATATGATATGTATAATACATATGTATAATACATACATGTATATATATATATATACATATGTATATATATATATATGTACATATATATATATTATACGTATATTAATGTGTGTGTAATATGTATATATATATACACATACATCTCTCTTTATCTATATATACATATATAAATATATGATATGTATAATACATATGTATATATATATATACATGTATATGTATATATATATAGATATGTATGTATATGGTCAGGGGTCATTTTTTTTGTTGGCTAATGGGGCCGTGGATGGATTGGGCATTATTACCGAAAACCAATCCTTTATACTCAATATTGACCATTTTGACCCGTACCCGATTGAAACCATTTGCAGGTGTTGCTTGCGCCGCAAGCTCAGTCTGATTGGTGCCAGTTTTCATTGGAATTGAGCAGCTCTCAACATCCAAAGGCCGTATTAAAGGCAAAGTAAGAGCACAAGAGGGATCTCTGATCATGATGGGCCTGGAACAACTTGGTGCCTTTTCGAAGACAAGACCAATCTCATTCAACGTCTCATAAATTTCAGTGATATCTGACATTTCTGCTTCCGTGCAGCGGTACAACTGCCAGGCTGCAAGTGGCTTTGGTTCTCTCAGAGTATGCTGAGCCCCTTGCCGGGGGCCAAGTCGGCTAGGTGCTGCAACGGAAGGATAAGGAATAGCGACTAGAGGACTTCTGTCATGTTTGGTGCTTCCCGAAGTCCAAATCTTGTTTGAGAGCTGTTCCAATCATCATTGTTTCCTTGAACAAGAACATCAACACATCAGTGTTTTGGTGAAAGTTTCGCCTCCTTGACTGACATAGAAACTGTTCATATTAAAAACAAGACTGTTTTTAAAGTGGTTTCCCTACAGACATTGGATGGTCCATCCGAAAAAAGGACAACAATTGGTGGGGGGTTTCACAGCCACTCAACGAAATGTTAAGACCATTGCGTCCGAGATTCAGGTTAATGACCAAGCCCAACTAAGGTGCCGGGTGAACAGTGGCAGAAGCAAAAGCCTGGCTGGTCCCAAAGAGGGGCAGCCGTGAATTTACCAGGCGCAATCGGAGCAGTGGCTCCCCCTGGCTGTTGGTCCTGTGGGGCGGGGGTTGTATTGTGAATATCATGGCATTTTATAGGAGCTGGTTTGGATGATTGAAAGCCACATTAATCAGTGAAGTTGTTCCGAGACTAAATGATAGCTTGGGTTTGATGGCGGTATTATTGTTTGGCGTGGGGCTCAAACTCAGCAACCACCAAAATTTGGCGGCTAAGCTTGAAACAAGCAAAGCCTGTGAAGAAAACTCAAACCTGGTAGTGATTCAGCAGCCATGGCGGAGACATTTGCCTTCAATGCTGACATCCAGCAGTTGATGAGTCTCATCCTTAGTTACCTTGGTGTGCTTGCTGGGATCACAACGGATTTGGAGGTCATGACCAGGTTAAAGGTAGGTCAGTTTCCTTTAGAGCATTGGGAAGCTTCTCCACAAGAGTGGCCTAAGTTTCCACCAATGCGGATATGACGGTCGATCAAAAGTCCTTGCCACAGAGTCTAGGTGAAGAACGAGGATAAGGAGAAGAAGGAGAATAATAATAAGGAAAGGAAACTACGAGAAAATGAAGACGAAGAACAAGAAGAAGAAGACACAGAAGAAGAAGAAGAAGAAGAAGATTGTGATTTCAATACTCCTGCCAGAATTGCACTTGCTCAGCAGTGGGATGGCACACGCGAACCTTTTCAGTATTTGCAGTTGCCTCCTTGTTTATACATTTGTGGCATAGTTCCACTTAGCACTTCCTTCACAACGGTGCAGATTGCTCTGGTCCAGAAATATTTGAGTAGTATTTTGATGCGTTGGGACCCCAGCCGCTTTCGCGTTGATGATATCGACATCTCAGAGCAATAGGTTCTTATCATTTGCGCTTCAATGTGGCCAGCCTCTGGCATGTGCATAGGTATCTCGCCTGTGTGTCCTTGTCTTTGCAACCTTGTGCCTGTACATTTCAGGTTTATTTGATGGCTATTGGCCCTGCCGATACAGCAGTGAATTGACGATGGCTTGCATGTCCTGCAAGTTACACCCAGATGACAGAAGAAGAAGGAGAAGGAGAAGGAGAAGGAGAAGAAGAAGGAGACGAAGAAGAAGAAGAAGAAAAAGAAGAAGAAGACAAAGAACAACAAGAAGAAGAAGAGTAAACGCAAGTCTTGAGACTTTTGAACAAAGTTGTGTTTTTGCAGACCAAACATGAAGCGCCGAGCGGTGAACACGATTTAGCAACCCAAACAGGAGAAGACACTTTGACAAACGATCATATGTTATATGTTTATATGCGCCATTTGACGCCTAACTTGGTTTCTGAACAAATACCAAAAAACCAGCCACTCTTCAAAGGGCTAACGCCCTAACGCCTTCATTTTGCGGTCTCAAATGCAAACTGCAAACCATTGTTGTTTTTCTATGTTTTTCTCTGAGGTCTGATCATTAATACCTTCTACTCGAACAAGGAGATCTTTTTGCGCGAGTTGATCTCCAACGCCTCCGATGCCTTGGACAAGATCCGCTATGAGTCCATCACTGATCCTGACAAGATTGAGGCCCGGCTTTGGGGGACACGATTGTTTTCTGGCTCATCATGTCTCATCCAGTGACTGTCCAGCTGGAATGCCTTAGGCCTTTGAATAAAGTTCTTCGATGGACGAATGAGATGTGTGAAGAACGGGTGAGCAAGAACAGTTTGAATCCAAATGACAAATCTGCAAGTTGCATTGCTGTCCAACACAGCTGGTGGAATGTTCTGTTGGATATTCCCTTGCCACCAACGCGTCCTGCACAGCACAAGGTTAATAGCTGCGACCTTGTGTTTCGGCTGGGGTTAAGCATTGGCGCTAAACGCAGGAGACGTGCGAAGGGCGAGTTGTCAAGGAGAGTGCTCTTCCAAAACTCGGCGCCAAGAAATTTTCAAGATCCAAGTTGCACCGTTCCACCCCAACAGCCATAAATGAATCATCCATGCCAGGTTATTGAAGGTGCAGGAATCGCAGGAATGCCCCCCTGGCCTTGGAATTTTGGTTTGTATGCTGTTGGTGTCCTCTTTTGTCAAAACGTGCTGGAGGTCTGCATTCACATCCCTCCCATGACTACCTCGTTTCGCCTCACTTTGCTTTGGTGCGTTTTGTTCTCCACAAGTATCCTTGTTTCCTTCCTGGGTTTGATCGTGTCATGCGCTTGCAGTTTGTCTTTCAGTCGGTTCCACTCATGTGTTTCGCTGTCGCATTTCATGACATGTACCTCCCGTATTTTTGCGACCCGCCCATGTTTACCGATCTGTATCCAGTTTCCCTTTAGTCACATATGAAGCACTGTTGGGACTTCGTTCCTGTTTTATTTTGGGCTTTTGTGGTTCCATTTGTCTGTGTCATTTTTTTCCCAAGTGAGCCTTTGTTTCCCATGATGAGTTTTAACCTGCCCCCCGCCAATCAAAATTCTCCAAGGGTAACTTGTGGCGTCTGCATCTCCCGGTGGTTTCCTTTCATGAGTTTCCCTTCGTTGGTTTCCGAGAATGGATCACCATTGGTTCGTGAAGTTGTCCCGGTTCAGCAGGTCCAGTAGTGGTTGTCCATGCTATGGCTTGAGGATCGCTTGTTTGCTTGCCGTCTCGATTTTCTTGTTTCACTTCATCTTAATCCACTTACTTGTTTCCAAAGTTATTTGAACTATTTCCACGGATGTGTTTCAACAGCCTTTCCAAAAATTCTTTGGTTTGTTGATGAAGGTCGCGCGGTTGTTGAAACATGGGACTGCTTTTCAACCGTTTTGGGCCAAAAAAGGGCACAAGAAATTTGCGTTTCGTAGGCCCAGCCCAACTTCTTCATCAAGATCATCCCCGACAAGACGAACTCCACCTTGACCATCGAGGATTCTGGCATTGGCATGACCAAGAACGAACTGATCAACAACCTCGGCACCATCGCAAAGTCAGGAACTAAGGCATTCATGGAAGCGATGGCCGCGGGAGGTGACATTAGCATGATTGGTCAGTTCGGTGTCGGCTTCTACAGCGCCTACCTGGTCTCCGACAAGGCTTGGTCTTTTTCCTCTCCAAAACAAATGTTTCCACTTTGCGGGGTACGCGTTCAGAATTGTTCTAAATCAACCTGGGGTTTTTGTTTCCTTTCCAGCAGCTTGAGCTATTTGAGGTTCGGGTCATCAGCAAACACAACGATGACGAACAGTACATCTGGGAAACTCAGTGGCACTTAGACGCTGGCACTTGTTCAGTTTTTGATCGGACCACCCCTCCCAATCCCTTATTGTACCAGCTCAGAAGCTGAGGAGAGTGGTGCTGGTGGGTCTTTCACCGTGCAGAAGGCCGGAAACCTGACAATCCGTTCAGCGAAGAAACAGTTTCAAGTCAGGATGATGTGGCTGCATGCAGACGGATAGAGATGTATATGTTCTGTTCAATGCACAATGCACCTTGAGGCAGTAAGCAAACACATCAACACATATGTATGCTGTATGCATAAATGCACATGCACACGCACACACACACACACGCATGTCCATGTACACCGACACATGCATACACACATGTTTGTTTGTAAACCATGAACGGAGGTTTTCTTTTGCAGGTTCCGAATGGAATTTTGAAAGCAAAAACAACATGAAATAGACCAGAGATGAAAGTCAATGACAAACATGAAAACAAACAAACAAACCAGAATTGGTCCTTTGGGTTTTGCAGGTTTCATTTTGCTGGCGACGAAGAGGAGCAAACAAACGGCAAAAAACAACAACCATGATCTATTTCATTTCTTTCACTTCCTTTTCATGTTGGATTCTTTTGCTTATTGTGAATCAATAGATGAATTCTTGGGTCTGCATTCTCTAATCGAATTTGCTTCCGCAACACATATATGTGCGCTTGACATTGGCAGTGTGCATGTCTTTTGTGCGCGTGCAAATCTATACATGTAGGTAGAAAGAAATAGGCCGTAGAAAGAATTTCAAGAATAGTTCACGTACAATGATTGGGGGTTTTCACCATGTTTTGTTTCACCAAGCCACTTTGGTATAATTCATGCAATAATAGATGATTAACATAGTCATCATCACTAATTACTTTGGCTCAAGTGGAGTAAAAGGTATTTCACTTGCTTTGCGTGGTTATCAGCCGTATAGCTTGCCATAGCTCCCTTCCTGTGTGCCGCTGACGTGTGACTGGGCTGCTGTCTGGTTGCATTGGCATTTCTTCTCTAGACCGAGTACTTTGTATCTTGGTCGCCACTGCCTTGCTTGCAAGCAGGAGTGGCAAAGGGGGAACGGGATCTGGCTGTGACCTTTCTTGTATGAGTGGTGATCAACCTTTCAGGGACGCCCCAAATAAACGAGGAGGTAAGAAAGTAAAGAGGAAGAAGGAGTTGTGGGAACTGACTGAACAGGGCCAACACATCCCCAAGGTCAAAAGTGAATCTGTCCCAATTGGTTATTCGTCCTCGGATTACAACACTGGTAATTGGGGTCAACACACTGGTTGGCAGGATTGGTCCGGTTGGCAGGATTGGTCTGATTGGCATAATAAAGAGCCGTCAGTTGTTAACTCAGAGGCTAAAACCCCACTGTCACCTACTCAGGACACTGTCGAAAGCTGTGAACCTATCACTATTGATCCATCACATTCTCCCCCAAAGGCTGTTCCCGAAGTTTCTGGCCCAGAAGTTCCAGTTTCTAGCTTGCCGGAGGCACCAAGTTCTTCAGGTGTGCTGATCTCGGAAGCCAGGCCTCTAGAACTCAGGCCGCGGGGTGGGCCACAGGTTGCTTCGACAGCATCTTCTGTGGCGGGTGCTCATCCGACGATCCGATTGTCTCTGGATCTGCACGGGGTGTTGGATTTAGGTTCAACTGGAAAGGGAAGGTGGTCAACGGTTGCCATCGATCAACTTGCAAATTGGTTGTCCCAATCCCCATACCATCAAGCCGGTGTGTACTCCTATATTGGCCTTAAAGGGGCGGAGAGTAAATTCCGTAGAGATCAGGCTTTGGCATCAGTACGTCGGTTCAATACCGCCCACAACGCCGACCTTCGAATTGGAATTACAACTGACAAACTTAAATCAGACATCAAAGCACAGGAGGTTTCAGTGCACGTGGACGATAAAGTAGAAATCTGTCGCCAGCTCAACGACAGGGGTGTTCCGAACATTTGTTTGAATCCTAACCTGCGCAACCCGCCTCCAGATCTCGTGGTAGTAAAGGACATTGTGGCAGCTTTCGAAGCAATCGAAAGGTTGAGGCTTGTGCCCAGAGTTTGGGCTTCCCAGTGGCCTGGCATCTTCAAGACAGGATAGCCTTGCTTACGAGCAGGTGTCCCTGTCGGCAGCTGAGCAGCCGCTGTTCTTGAAACTTGGATGCAAGAGTCGGGTGAATCGTCAAGTTTTCAGTTGTCAACCGAAAGCAGTGGAGGAGTAGCAGCTGGTATGCCAGGAGAAACAGGAAACCTGTCCAGAGAGTCGTCCAGTGGTGCCTCCTCCCGTTCTAGACCAAAGTCCCAACCACAAAGAAATCCCACTCAAGTAAGGAAAGCGTTACCCGCAAAGCCGCACACACCCCCAGTTCCGAACGATCCGACAACATCTAGGAGAACACAAGTAATCTCCATGAAAGCAGAAGAGGAGTCCGCAATCTCACCATCAGGATCATCCTTGCCGCCCTTGGAAGACATGTCGTATGTCCCTAGAATTCATGCTGATGGATCCCAAAGGGATCCTGAAATGCAACAATACCAGGCGTATCAGGTTGATCAGAGGGAACTGAACATAGACCAAAGGTCTATCCACTTCCAGCACAACATTTTCAACCCTGACCCTTCAGTTGTCGGGCACTTAGCAGCAACGGCGGCGACCTCAGAAGTCAGAGCTGAAGCTACTCATGCTGTTTCGGCCGTCGTGACCGAAGCAACAAGTGCAGTTGCAGCTGCAAGAGCCCAAACTTCGGAGGCAGTTGTTCGGGCAGAAGCTACTCAAGCTGTTGCTCAGGCGCGGGAGTCTGCAATGGATTTCGAACTCAGGAGTTTGAGGGCCATGGTTGAATCACTTAGGGCTGAGAATGAAGATTTGAGAAACAGGGCTCGAACCATAGAAGCCCAATCCCCCAATGTGGATCCAACTTCAAGCCTCAATGGCGCGGTTATTGAGCATAGGATTGTTGAAATGGAGAATTTCATCCAAACAGGCATTCTCCCACGCTTGACACACCTTGAAGGTACGTTCACTCTCCTTAGGGATTTGGACCATCAAGTGAGGGAGAATATATTGCCTAGGATGCAGGGGTTTGATGAAAGTGTGCATCAACTTATGGACCATTTGGAGACGAACGCATTGCATGTCCCACATGTTGCCAATTCCCGGCCTGAGCCTAGCTCCCATGGTAATTCACCTGTTCATCATGCCATCTGGGATGATTCTGATGTTGAGGGTGATCCGGAACACAACCAGGAAGCAGGTCAGGACGTGGAAGGGAAAACATTAAGGACCAAGGACTTGCACCACTTGAAGCTCCCACCAATCCCAGAGTCAGCTGCCAACTACAGAGCTTGGCGAAATGCTGTCCGCACGGCTTTGCTTGCCTTCGATCGAAGCACAGAGGGCCTCTTGGGACCTTGGCTTTCAAGAGCCTTCACGGCTCGGGGGGCAGAGTCGGCGGAGTTGAGTCGGGACAGTGGTGATTTCCCTAGGTGTGACAGAGTCATTGCTAGTCTCCTGTGTCGTCAAGAAGCACTGAAGTCAAGTTTTGGGTTGAAAATTCAGTCGTATGTGGAACGATGCGAGATTTCAGCTGAAAACATTCGGGGAAGATATATTCTGAACATGATTTCAACCGAATTTGACACAGCAAATGTCGCCACATCCATTACCACGAGTTTGGAATTGTTTCAACTCCCGGCGCCTCAAGACAGTGTTCAGGGTTTGAAGCATTGGCATGACAAAGTTACGTACATACTATCCCAATTATCCGTTCACCAACGGCCAGCCGATGAAATGCTCTCTCATTGGGCGTACAATTCCCTTAAACGTCACCCACTGCTAAGGCGTGTGATTGACCGGTACCAGGAACTTCCAGCCATGCGCACTTTTGATTTCCTTTGGGAGGGTGTTGTCACGGCATTACGGGAATCCCAACACGATACAAACGCACAAAGCATCAGGGATGATCTCAGGAAGGGCCCTCAACCGTCAAAGAAAACCAATCCGGACACCAAGGCAGCGGTTGCCCCAAAGGGTGCTGAAAAAGGGAAAGGAGACAAGAAAGTCAACTGACAAGGCAAAGCCAGATCCCAAGGCCAAAGGCCAAGACAAACAGAAGGGAAAGGGAAAGGGCAGTTCCAAACCAAGCAGCCCTACTCCTCCCAAATCCATTCAACAAGGGGGAAACCCTCCTCCATGCATCTTTTATGCCCGGGGAAAGTGCACAAGGGCTAATTGCCCATTCTCCCACGACGCGCCAGCCACTTCAGCTGCAGCAGCATCCACAGCCACGCCAAAGGCACCTGCCGCCCAGCCAAAGGCCAAGGCAGTTGCGGCTATGGTTGCTTACCTTTGTGGCCTTGGCCCAGTGATGGGCATGACAACAGCAGTGGAGTCCGACTTCTCCGGCTACTTGGATTTCATCGGAGATACAGGGGCCGGGGAGTGTCTGGGATCACCAGAAGCATTGAAGAAACAGGGCTTAGATGTTCCATCTTCTTGCTTCACCCATACTTCTTCTCCCATGCGGTTTGCCACAGGTGGCGGGACCCAACATGGTTCTACTACTGTTGGCTGTTGGGCGGACGAGCTCAAACGCCTCACCAATATTTACATGCTACCTCAGTGCCCCCTTGCTTTAAGCATTGGTCAGCTCTGCGCTGACGGGTTTTCCTTTGTGTGGCCTTCAGGCGGCCATCTCCCATTCTTAGTTCCACCCACTTCGTCCCTCCACTATGACACTGATGGCCCAATTATTGAAGCCCATCGTATTGAACACCATGTTCCCATTTTCCGGTTCTCTACTGACCTAGTACCCGGTATGCCATGTTCATCTTCAGGGGGGGGAATGCATCTGAAATTAATGAAGACGCTGCACCCCATGCACTTGCTCCATCATCTCACAGACCTGAAGTTTCACATGGTGTTGAAATCGCAGATGTCGGTAATGGTGGTTCAGAGGAAGAAGACGTTTGGACTGAGGATGCGGTAGATGCAAGTCACTGTCTGACACACTTGCCCAAGTCAAGAAAGTGCCCAATCTGTTTACAGGCAAAGCTGTATGAGGCGCCCCACAGGCGCAGGGCCAATGAGCGAGCCCATCTTCGCGACATCAGGGACATCGAA